GCTAAACAAATTTTGTAAATCTTTTCATTGTAGCAATAAAACATATTTAGAAAAACATATATAATTTGTCCGGATTTTGGCGCCGCACCCTGTAGTAATATCTGTCTTAAATGTTTTATGCTAAAGTGGTCTTAACAGAAACAAGAAGTATAAGAGTGACCTATAAGGAATAATAAAAGCTCTTGACTATTATTTGATCAATAATTAAAATATAAAAATAATACTAACAATAAACAACTAATAAATTGCAGATACGCAAATTAAAAGAAAAAAGAATTTAGGACAGCAGTCCAGTGCATTGGATAGAATTGCTGATTCACTTTGTCAACTATCAACTCTATTTGCACTACTGCCAGCACCCATGTATGATAAAATTGATTCGTCTTTAGCAGTAATCGGATGGAGGTTGAGACAGATGAATCCAAAAAAGCAGTTACATGTCCTTCAGCAAATAATGAACTTAACATATGATATACTTAGAGAAGATTAAGCTTTATTGATTTGTTTNAAGTAAAAAATGTGTCTTTTATGTTACATTTTGTTCATTTAATTCTATTATTGTTTTGAAAAGATATGTGTATAATAAAGTTTATAATAAAATTTATATAAAGTTATTAAATATGATTAATTATTTATATAAAGTTAATAAAGTCAATAACCACAAACACGAACAAGACATAAGCAAGACAAAACATTTTCAAACAAGTAAAATTGCATATACAATTAATCTATACAATTAATGATTAGAAGAACTAACAATGATAGAACTGGCTTGGTACAGCACCTTCACTATTAAAATATTTACAGAATTCTTCTCGAATTTGCATCGCTCGACGAGAACTGTTATTAGAACCGCAATGAGTTATGTTTGCAAATGCACTATTATCTATGCAATTTCTCCAAGAGCCTGGAATAAAGCCGTCATCATTTTCTTGATCAATTAGTGTTGGAGTAACATATTTATTTTCTTCAATATCTATTTGACGAATCCAATTATGAAGACATATAATGGCTTTAACAATTGAAATTGTCTTTTCCATACTACAATTGATCGGTCGCTTTAGAATTCTCCATTAGCTGGCTAAAATACCAAATGTATTCTCGATTGTTCTTCTAGCTCGACTCAATCGATAGTTATAAATATTTCGCTCGTCGTTTAAACCGCCTTTTCCTGGATAAGGCCGGAGCAAATAATCCGTCAATTGAAAAGCTTCATCGGCCACTAAAACATATGATAAAGGGGGTCCACCTGGGCTGAGAGGTTCTGGTGCAGGTACGTTCATTTCCTTTGATGCAAATTTTTGACCAATCGTTGAATTCATAAACCTACCACTGTCACTGCAGCAACCATAGGCTCCTATATCAACAAACGTGAACATATATTGTGCGTCACAGATTCCGAGGAGCACAATACTATGATACTTCTTATAATTAAAATAAGATGATCCTGCGTTAGGTGGACACTGTAAAAAGAATAATCATTTAAATATCAAATTTATAATGTCCTATGATAAATGTAACATTAATCAATAACATTATCTCAATAATAACATGTTTGCCGTCAATTGCGCCTATGCAGTGATTACAATCCCATTTCTCTTCAAATTCTTTAGCAAGGTGTAGCCATTCCTCTGTAGTTTTTGATGGTGGAATCAGATTCTGATGGATACAGTTCCATATAGCATCGCATGTTTCACCTAATATGTGACTTATTGTTGACACTCCAGCAAGAAAGTGATACGACATCAAATGCATCGAATCACTAGTTGCTAAATATCCAAATATATAATTTAATCAAATATAATTATTTTTGAATTTATGATGTTAAGTAATGACAAATAAACCTTAATGTTATGGATAGTCGCTCTGCAGGAGGTAATGGTTCTCTAATTACTGTTTGTTTAGTGATTGCAGGTGGCACTAAGTATAACAATTCTTCAAATTGCGTAGCTGTCATACGATAATAGTTGCGAAAATTTTCTGGTGTTAATCTTGGAACAGATGCGTAATAAAAACCATGTTCACGTCGTCTTTCAAACAATGGATCAACTCAAAATCTCTTCTTTTTATATACTTTTTTAAATTTTATACATTCATTAATGTATACAGCGACTATCGTTTTATTTTGCCGTAGTTGCTCTTCATTTTTATTATGAACAATCGCGGCAACTTGACAGGCCAACTCGTGATATTTTTCTTGATATGACATTGTGCACACACACAATTTGGCATTTATTTTACACAACACCAGGTTTCATTCTGACAACATACTCAATATATGTATAAATTGAGTTTAAGGGCCGATACGAGCAGTAAATACAAGCTGGTCGTGTATGAGAATAAGTCTTTATTAAATAAACAGACGTTTCGGTCACAGGTTTGGACCTTCTTCAGTGTAATCTAGTAATAAATTGATCGAAATGAGCGCAACTCATAATAAATTGGATAAAAACGTATGACATAAAATATAAAGATATAAAAAATAAAAATTGTTATACATACTTAAAATTAGAATCGACGCGAGCAAACAGCATCCATGATAAAGTTGGAAATTGTGTGTAAATATGATTAAGAGATACTGTGTACTGGCGCGCAATCTTTACATGGCTCAAATATATACAAAATTTCCCACATTACCAAATTATCTCAATCAATAACAAAAACATATACGA